GAGTTAGAAGAAAACATACCCATTGCAGTTTAATTAGAGTAGCGACATCCAATAGACACGCAACAGTGAATAGAACTATACTAAACCAGAAGTCAACATAACCAGATAGAATTTGGCCGCAAATAGTGCTGCTGAATGTGAATACCAAGCTATCGCGATCGAAAATGAAATAACATGATTCTGGAAAGGATTCCTAGATGATTCAAGTGCACATCAAAGTAACTTAATGATCTGCTACATTAATTCAACATATATAAGGATAAAGGATAAAGCATTTGCCGTTGATCAATCCCTTTTTGGGATGCGGCACGCATTCTACTTCCATTTGTACATTCGTAGTGGCGTTTGAATGCGATGTGGCCTATACAATGACTTGCGGGGGCCAGCCGATGTACAAGTCAGTGTTTTTATCCTCCCAGACAAGTCTGGTACCAATTAACCGACCCCGGAGGGATGGGTTGCACGACCCAGGATTTGATCCCCGGACCGCTCGCGTGGTAAGCGTGCCACTTGCCACTACACCACTTCCGCCCCATAGTTCAACTATTCAGAAACTACCTCTACTGAAAATTCTTGACCAATGAAAAGTTTCTCTTTGTCCCACTTTCGTTTTTTGACGAATGGATGGTCAGATCTTCAATTACCTATCTGACTTTCATGCCAGGAGTGGAAGCCGAGTCACTCGTGTGTTGCGCAGCTCTCTTCGAGAGGGTCATGCCTTGGGTTGGTGAAGGTCAAAACGTGGAAATGGGGAGGGGCGTATTTTTAGAAATTGAAGAGGTCGTGTTGGCAGTAGGGGAGAGCGCTAGAGTCCGCAGTCGCGTCGCGGCTGGTACCGCAACGCGACTGCGGACTCTAGCAAATCGCTAGTAGCAAATCACTCGACTCGTAAAGTCTGACATCGGCCTGAAGGAGGTGAGTCGTAAAAAATCAGCAAATCAGCGAAACAGCGCAACGGACGGTTGGCCCTGAATGGAAGACGCAGCGGGTCAGGATTACCTAGATAGCTTTCTCCTTGATGTTTTTGAATCCGTAGGTACAAAGTAGCAGTTTCTAACAGCCGATCAGCAGCTAATATTGAAGAATTCCTAATTTAGGCGCAATGTACTCGGAAAGGGGGTTAGTCTGGAGGGGGGGGACTAATACTGCACAGAGAGACGAACTTCAAAGAGAAGAAAATTGCTTACGTACACCAGAGTCTCTTTTTAGTCCGATTCTTAGCCCCAAACTCAGCGTTTCCGTGAGCCCTACGAAATCTTACGGGCTGCCACTCCCCCCGGCCACTTTGCGCTCTAATTTATACCTAACCTTTTTGAGAAGTCTCATTACTCACCATCAAAATAGGCACCATCCATCATATGCCAGACATATCAATGTGGATGCAGCAATATACCGAATAGTGGAACGATTTGAAAAGAACTCGGCGTATTCGGTTGGTTTGAACACGCAAACGAAGCGATTCAACGAGAGCAGAAACATCGACAAATAGGCACCACATTGAGCAATGATAGTCATCTGACCTATGGATCGATTCAACCAAAAGGCACTAGAGAAATCCCTGAAATGAGCTTCAAGTGCAGGGTTAATATGAGGTATCCGAGATTCTTCGATACTTGCTTAGGTAGTTTGTAATTTTTTGTTATATTCTTCATCGTCTTTTTGTTCCCTTGCATCAAAACACATGGCCCACCGGTAAAGGGGTTGTTGTGTGGAGCTCCTTTCCTCCTAGGTGTTGGCCCTGTTTCCGACCAGGGTCAACCGTTACTTTCGCACTTCAGGAATTTTGCGACCCCACACAACCATTCTCAGGAGGCTTCTCCAATACAACCTCTGCCTAGCCTACCCCGACCGCCACCCTCACCATTATGGCTGTTTCTATTGCATTTGAGTACGATACTATTCGACACACCACTTCTCCTTCAATCGGAAGGAGGTATTACTGTGCAATGAAACGGCTAATTTTCTCTCCCCCTCCTCCCACCTATCCAGCTCCATGCTACCCCATCCCACCCCATGACTTTACACCGAACACCATCCTCAAATCGCCTAAAAAAGCCGATCTAAATCAGCATCACCCTCCACCTCCACTCAACAAATTACTAATCCCACTCCACCACCCCTGAATGCGACCCTCCCCTTCCCAAAATCAACCACAAATGCGACCCCCTCGTTCGAATAGTGCGAACGCACGGTTGACCCTGTTCCCGACGCCACCGCAATTTTGCGCACTTCCATATATTTCGGGAATTTTTCGGCACTTGTAAAAAATTTCTCATTTCTGACAATGGCCACTGCAACCCCACTAGATCGCTACCCTTCCAAGTTCTATCACCACGACCCCTTCAAAATTCCGAATAGTGCAACACTTCCGCTAAGAACTACCGACTCGAAACCGTCTAAATTGCCCCGATGGGGCCGAGGTATATAAGCATGTTATTTATGTACATCTGTACTTTACTGGTTACAGGCACCTCTCGTGCCACTCATAGGACCCCTGGCAACTGATCATATGAGCTTTTTTGCAACCTATTATCTGACTGCGTGGCATTACATATCACAGTGACGAATCCTGAGCAGGTGACTAGGGTATAGGAATTCGATCAACACTGTCAACAACAAACAACGCAGGATAAATGACTTATTACGTGTGTTAATGCTTGACAGTTTCATGTAGCTAAATAGAAAAATAGAGAGAAAAGAGATGTGAATAGCGTTGGCGTCATCTTTTTCATTCATATCTTTCGTCATCTACTTTATAGCTTTGTGATGCCAGTACGAATCTGGCGACTGTGGAAAGAGTGAAAGACTCGTGAATCATTGGGGACTGAGACGGCCTGTCACTTCCAATTTAAAAAATATTCAAGGAGCTTTGAAAAAAGTAGATGC